GATATACCTGCCATTTTAGTCGCTCATGAGAGAAAGTAAAGAGAGAGGAAATGTTTAACAGGTTTCTGCTTCATACTTGTATGATAGGTGGATGGTACCTCACTGGATGGTGGTTGTTCTTCTTCTTGTTGATTCGCCGGTACTTCCGGCCCGGGTCTTCTCCAGATGGTGACCCTGCTGGATGGTGGTGGTTTTGTTGTTTTGTGCCAATCCATTGTTGTTTTATTTCTTGTCTTGTGTTACGATTCTTTTGATGTCTCGGGTTGTTAACCGGTGAAGGAAGCGTCTTGATGCTTTTCATTCAGAGAAGTGAAATGCCTTATCTTTGGCTCGAACCTGATAACCTCTCGTTCTCTTGTTGCAATTGTGACCCTACGTGTTTAGCTGTTCGCTATGAATATATTTATTGCAAACGGGTGAATGGTGGTGGGTTCACATGCAGGTGAGGGAGAGTGACATGTGAGGGTTCACAGGCAGGTGAGGTGGAGGGACAGGTGGGGGTTCACCGGCAGGTGAGGTGGAGGAACAGGTGGTGGTTTACAGGCATGTGAGGGAGAGTGACATGTGAGGGTTCACAGGCAGGTGAGGTGGAGGGACAGGTGGGGGTTCACAGGCAGGTGAGGTGGAACGGCACGTGGGGGGGGGGGTTCACAGGCAGGCAGTGTGACATCTTTGGTTCACAGACAAAGAAGTGTAACATGTGGTGGGTTCATGGGCAGTAGAAGTGAAGTAATAGGTGGTGGGTTCACAGTCAGCCAGAGGAGGTGGGATGACATCTTGGGTTCACATGTAGGAAGATGTCAGTAATCGTATAGTCATAAAATATTTATCATTCTAAGCTATAAACATGAAACTCGGACGTTAATGGAAATTGTATTTAAATATGATAAGTCTCCCGAATTCTTCTAGTGTCGGAAGTCATATTTTTGGTGAGCAATTATTCAGTCAGCCTGGAAGCAGTTTCACACAGCCCGGCTGACCATTTACATAAGGTACTAACTTGTAGAATTCAAAAGTAGACACTTCTACATTTGTTTCTCCGATATTTCTTAACTTTGCTCATAGTAGATTGAAGAGTCGTGGTTTTTTGATGTTTGAGTTCTCTCATTGCTCACATGTAATCCTTTCTTAAAACCGAAGGATCCGTGCTCGATCCTGGGGCTACCGGAAACGTTGGGCATATTTCCTTCCATTTGTTGGCCTCTGTTCACCTAGTAGTAAGTAGGTACTACTTGGGTGTTAGTCGACTGTTGTGGGTTGTATTCCAGGAAAGAGGGGCTAAAGGACCACAATGGAAATCAGCCAGACTTTCTTAGGTTAACCTGGGACTAACCCTTCTGGTTAATAATCTGAATAGCCGCCTACTTTCCATTTTTTTCGGATACAAATGGTGTATTGCCGTCTGTACCGACGACTCGGTATAGAACAAGATTTTATTGGGACAACGTTTCGCTCTTTGTAGAGCGTAACACTGTCCCAATAAAAGCTTGTTCAGCGAACGTGTCTTTTCTTCACTCTACTTTTCAATGAGACTATTCTTTACCTCCTCGTACCTCAACAACAGCGCGAAAATGTTTGTTACAAGAATCACTTTTAGTGACATGAAACGATATTTGTTTTCATGTTCGCGTAACTTCATTGTACTTGTGAAATTCTTTAATTTCTTGTGCAGTTTAATTATTTTAGCATTGCGTTTTAGTTTTCTAAACATTTGAGTGAAAGTAATTCTTTCAAGGGAGGCATTTTCATACCATTATTATTATTATTATTATTATTATTATTATTATTATTATTATTATTTTTATTATTATAATCAAGGGGAAGCGCTAAACCCGGAGGATTATACAGCGCCTGGGGGGGGATGTGGAAGGCATTCAGGCTTAATTCGGGGAACTGGAGCACAGATCCAATTCCCTAAATCAAGAGCCCCTCACCAACATCAAGGAACCTTCCTTGAGGGGATTTTCATACCAGAGAAGGACTTGTGAGACAAGGGTATCCATTACATCATACAAACCATTCACATCACAAAGACAAGGGTATAAAGCTTCCTTCCCTTTCCTTAGATCATATCTGATTACCTCAAATTCCACAGGCGCTGTATGGCACTAGCAAGTTCAGCTCTTTACCGTGAATATAATAATATTACAGGTTTTTATTTACACTCAGTATAAATACACCTTTACTTTTATATGTGTTTTTTAATGTAGATCTTAATCTTGTAATATTTCTTTTCCAACCTACAAGGCATGGTCTTAGAACAGGTCGTGGGAAAGATAATCTTTGACTAAAACCACAAATAGATGACAGTGGATAACACAACAGTGTTTGACAGCGGCTAAAATATTTATGTTTAAACACACTCAGTGTAGTTCTGTGCTTTCCTTGCGACGGTTGAATCAGGGAATGAAGCCAGGGCCGAGCACGAAAGTGTCTTGGTGACAGTGAACCCATCAAACCTGTACGCACTGAGGCCAGCTACACCTCAGAGCCCAACACG